CCTTCATGTTGAGGAATAAGAAGTCTGTCAGAATCTTTAGGACTTCCATTTAACTGAAATAATTTTGTGGAAACTGCAGCACCTACTATTTTCGTGATATAATATAATTAAGATATAATACTATAGAAATGATCCCATGGAAAACAGTAACACATAACTTATATGAGAGAACCACTTAACTGTCACAGATTTGCTTATTGCATTTTTAATATATTAAAAGTAATATGCTATAAGAAATAAACACATTTTATTTAAATGTGCCTCAAAAGTTTTACAACATATCCCTTCATCAGTGATCTTACCTTTTTTTGAAGGACATTAATTTTTCTTTCTTTTACTTCCAACATGTCTTTCATATCTCGAATCTCTCCAGCCAGGGTTCCTTTCTCTTCTGTGAGGTCTTGAAGTTGTTTTGTTTTTTTATTCAGAAAGGTTTCTTTTTCTTCCAATCGTAACCGCAAGGCATCAACCTACAGTAAGTAAATCAAACATATTTAGATTTTAGTAAAGATCAATAGCATATTTTATTTATTTTTTCTAATTCCATTTTTTGTTTTTTATTTATTTTCCATGCAGACTTTCCAACTTTATTTCAGACTAAGAGATTCTTTTACTTGTTAAAATGTAATAAAAAACAAAAGCACTTTTAGCACCAATGCATGAACAGAAAAAGTAGAATAGTCAAAACATGAAATAGCATTAAAACAGTCCTAAGTTGACATGAAGGACTCAAAAAAAATAATCTTGACTTATTAAATATATAATTAATTTAAAATAGTGTTCTGTAGCCTGTATTTCATTTGCCCATTAAAACCCTGAAACAGGCAATCAGACACTTCAGTCACTACACAGGTTTGGGCACAGGTCAGTAATCTAGAAACAGAATTATTTAAGAAAGACACAGCAAATAGGGAAATAATAAGGTTCTTCACTTTTCTCCAGTGTATATTGCATAAGTCTCTTAACAAATGGGCCTTATTGTACTTTTCTCTAATAAGCAAAAATCCCTGTCAACCAAAACAATCCAAGGATTTTCCTAAGTGGAAATGTCTTAATAAAGAATCTCACCAAATTGTTCTGCATTATGTAACTGCTTTTTCTTTTAGAAGCCCCCCCCAAAAAAAAAAAAATCAAAAGCATTCTAACAGCCCAGAAGGTGTATGTGTGTATGTAGCCTTGTTTTTCTCATTTCTTGCTATATAAATACTCAAGCATGCAATTTTATTGTTCTCTTAATGCAATTCAAACAGTTCTCTAATTACAGTCAGGCAAATACTTGCTGGTGGTCTGGAAAAAAACATAGATCACTTGATACTGGTTACTATTTGTATACAGTTGTTTCTATAAGGAGCTCTACTGCTAATTGCAATTAAAAGCTTGGGTACTCATAAAAGCATTTGGAAATAAGGAGGAAAAATATCTGACTCTCCTCCTTGATAAGGGGAGTGGAGGGGGGAGGAGCAGCCACCTTTAAGGACAGCAGCACAAATATTATAATCAAAGAAGAGAAAAACATTTGGTGAAGCAAGGAAAAAAAGTAGTGAGAAAAAAAGGAAAATTTAAATGACAGGATACCTGTTGAAGGAAATGGACAAGGAGGGAACTGGCTCTTTGGGGAGTATAATCAAGTAACAGTATGCACAATGTGAATAGACAGACATGGCCACAGCAGTAGGCATATGCACATGGATCCAGACATAAACACACAAAAAATATCAAAATAGGGGAAGAAATAAGGAGCTAGACAAGAAAGCAACTTTTTAACGTAGATTTAACAATCCTACTTCACAGCTTCAAATTCCTAGTACCTTTTTTAATAATACCTTTCTACATCAGCACTGCCTAGAGTAGTTACCACAAGGTAAGGTATGATTCCAAATGGAAAAGGTGTTACTCTTCAAACTGTGAAGAGAAGAGGAAGCACTGTCAAGATGCTCACTGATACCTTCTGAGAACTTCTGATATACTATTCAGACTATTGGCTCTCAAAAATTTTCAAAAAGGTATTCAAAGTAAGAGATCTTGTCACAGCTTCCTTAAATTAAAATCTAATAACAGAACGGAATAAAGCAAATACTTAAGTGGTCTCACAATGATGTGATGGTGAAGTGGAGGTGAAACCATAAGGTGAAATTGCAAGGAATAAGTAGAGCTGGAAAATGAAGTTTTGAAAGTTTTAATGGTGTAGCCTTTTATATAGTGGAGAAGAACAAGACAATTAGGAATCAATACCCTAATAAATCAAGAATATAAAGATACTGATGCAGGATGTAAGAAGTTCAAAATATGATACATGTAATCTTTACTGACCTTGATAATTAGCAAAATGAAAAATTATACATTTTACTGAAGTAGAAAGAGCAAGTAACGTTATTCCTACAAGAATGTTTAAAAGTGTATGGAAGGGTGGGTTAAGTTGAGTAGACAAATAAAGAAGAATTGTAAAGGGGAAAAAAACCCACAAAAATTAAACTTAATTGGAATGTATCTCTCTAGTTTAAAATATTTCTCAATTTCTTTATATAACCTAAAAGGGGGTGGGGGGTGGAACATAATTCACTCACACCAAAGAAAGAATTATCCATCACATAAATTCTGCTCTTAATACCTTTGTAGTAAAAGGTATTTTTGTAATAAAATAGTAGACATCTCAATTCATCAAGCAACAGAATATGCTTGGGTTTAACCATCAGTACCGCAGGAGTTGCACCTTACATGCACTGGTCCCTTCAGTAAGCACTTCCACTAAATCACACCTGTTTCCACATTCTGGTTCAGAAACACAGTTACAAATGAATCACTGAGTAGCTCACAGACAACATAGGTACATTTTTGGGTAAAAACTAGATTTCATCATATAGCAAGTTTTTAAAGACCAAAAGGGACACTTTTCTTTTTTTTTTTAAGTGAGCCTCATATTATTGAAAGCTAATTTGTAAATAAAATAATACCAGAAAAATATAGTGTACCCATGAATTTTTGTCAGCACTTCTAAACATTGTAAAAGATCAACAAAACCCATCCACTTTTAGTGTTAAGTTATGGATTCAATTCCACATTCCTTGTGCAGTCTCAGACTCCCAAATTCAAGCCTGGGATATGGAAATCAAGGAGTTTATTCTTAGTGAAATATTTCAGTTTTCCAGAAGGCTGGTTAACACACCAAAACTTCTTGTCCAGGAGAGGAGACACTAAAAATGCTGCTGTAGTCTTCTACATTTGCCCTTCCAGTACACACAGAGAGAAAAAGATGTTACATAGCACAGAAAACGCAGAGGTGGCAGCATGGGCATGAAGAACATTTGCAAGGTTTGCAAGCTATTAGAACGACATTATAATTTCATGCAAAACTAAGATAAAGTGCAGTCGTTTGTTATTACAAAGACAGTTTTCCTTGAATAAGGGCCCTTATTTCTGATACTGTTTTCTTCTCCAGCTCTGAAACGATGAGGTGTTCACATTAAGCAGAACCACACAGGCTTGTTTTGGCTGCAAGGTACACCACTGAGAAGACAAGACCTGAAATGAAAATATATGATGTGGCAATCTAGAATCTCCATCTACAAGAGCGCTGCAGGAAGTCAGGCAAGTGAAAAATTTTAGATTCACTAATCCAAATTTCAAACACACAAATGTCAGAAAATAAAGAACAATGGCTTAAAGTTTACATTACCTAGAAATTCAGAGAGTTTATTCATAATAAAAAGCTAGATTAAAGTAACTGAAAGGGCATAAATGTTAGTTTAGCATTTTTAAGTTCTGCGGTTAGAATAGTCAGAAGTGGTCACACGTATTAAGCACCTTTTTTCCTAGTTAATCAGAATATTAAGTACAAAACAAACAGCAAATCTAATTTATTTTTATTTATATTCTGAGTTTTGTAATGCTAAATTTATTAATAGCAAAAGTCTTCGCAATGCCATTTTAAAACATGGTTTGGGACCAATTTAGATGATCTATTGGATCTTGAAATGCATGTTCTTCCTGCTCTTAAAATGGCTCATTGCTTTTCTACACACTGGAAAAAAAAGATTTATATTCTACTAGATTTATTTTATTTTTAAGACTTTTTTTTTACAATATTACAGTAATATGATCTTGCCATTTGTAAGCAGTGTGCAATATGAGATTCAAAGATGACTTTTTAAATCAGAAAACAAGAAATAGTAGTAGCAGCAAACTTTCAGACCTCTTTTAATAAACATAAAAGACCTCATCTGAAACTCATTACCACATCTTCTTTATACTTAATCACTTATTTGCTTCATGTCTGAAAGCAATCCCCTAAGTCAAATCACAAAAATCTCTGTTGGGTCTTTAAACTGCAGCTGAGAAGCTCATAACAGCATTGCAGTGGGAGTTCCAAAAGGGTTTCTCTTCACACAGGCACTGGCTTTCACTCATTTTCCATCTGCCACTAGGCTGAAGCTTCTTCACGCTTGAAGTCAAAGGACATTCCAGCCCCAGTGCCTCCCAGCCCAACTCCTCACCCTCTGGCAGGTGAGTGGTTCTGGCTGCTCCAGAGCCAGCGTGGTTACCCCTCATTGCTCACACAGAGAGATACAAGATGGACTTATATCACGTGTTCCCTGACAGGGACTCTGGCACATTCATAACAGTCCATGATGTAACCTCCAAGCCCCAATAAATCCAGTGTCATACATAAAAGATTAAGCTGTCTTATTTTCCAGCTCTTTCCCAATGAACCACAGGTCAGCAAATGCTCTACTGTTCTAGCTAAAATTCAAATTCCATAGAATTACAAGGAAATTCCTTCTTAAAGGAATTTCACCTTCCCGGAGAAACAGAAATCTTTCTCAAATATGCTGAGAAGCAGACAGTGATCTGACTTACTGACATAGCATTTCCCACATTTCATCTGGATCATGGAGATCCTAATCTTTTGCAAACCATCCCTGCTCCTATTCTTTTATAAGACAATACCTTACTTGATGCTCCCTCTTTTCTTCCCCTTTGTGCAGAAATATTTTAATCATTATGTTTTAAAATCATAAGCCAAGACCATGAGACAGCTCAGACTAAAACCTTTAAGATCAGAAAAGGATATAACACAGCATGGGTTTCAATCTGTGTCATCCTTTTCTCCTTGGAAGTACAGGAAAGAGAATTATCTCTAGTCTTCATCCCCAGAAGCTATTTTTCATGGAGCTCAAGTTAGGTTGTGTCCTGACTCCAATATTGTGAAGAAAGAGAAGAAAAAAGATCTGCCAAATATATCTCTATTTTCTTCCACCTCCTCAACCAGTGAACAGGTATCTTCAGACCGATACAGCAAAGCACTTCAGTTCAAAAATCCACCTACACATTGAAGCCCAGGTATTTTGAAACAATAGGTACATCACCCCCCAAACCCTGAAATCAGTGCTCTACGTGAGTTTTCAGAGACAGAACTCTGAGCCATTACCAGTCTGGGAGAGCGAACAGGCAACTCATACTGTGTGTGGTCTTC